AGAAATCAAGTAAGTTCTCCCCACACACTCTATTCGGCAGGTGTCATTTCAGATAGAAGAAGCAGGCAGAGGCAGGAGATTAGAGAGACTGAGTATGCGTATCAATCAGAGCAGGTCATCTGAATGAGACCATTTAACCAAAGACATGAAGCTGCTATGACAGGCAAGTTTAAAGCCACCACCCTCTGCCCCAACTTCTACGACAGTGGGTACTGTGAGAAAGACTTGGTGGCTAATAGATAATAAGGTACATTTTCTTCACACATATGTGTAAAAATATTAAGCTGCAGAACATCTATACAACAAAGGAATCAGTTGTGTATTTTTAGATATCTCCTTTCTTCTAAAAAAGATTTGAGGCAATTAAAACCTATATATTGTAAAATAAACACTTAAGGGAAGAGCCAAAAATTAAGTAAGTTTTAAGAATAAAATGATGCAGATACACTTAACATATGTGTTACAATCTATAGAAAGATAGTGTGAGATGGGTGATACCTTGCATCTTCTCTATTCGTGGAATGCCAATATGTTTGCGGAAGAAATCAGAAAAGCAAAAACTGTGCTAGTCACACCTGTATTGCCAGCACTTCCTAGACTTCTTGGAGCATAGTGTATGCTCAGTAAATATTTGCTGAATGAGTAAAAGAAAAAACACAGCTAGCATTAGAATCCAAATGGATAATAAGACATTTTTTGAACTCTCAAGTCATCGATTGTGGGCCAAATGATGGAGTTGTGGGGTGGGGGTTCTGGCCTGGCAGGAAGTAGGGATACCCTGGGAGACCTGCACAGAAGTGGGAAAAAAGGAGGGAGTGGGTGTGGGGACTTAGCTGTGCTTCTCACCCTATCTCCCCCAAGCTGTGAGTTTGGTGCTGTTGTCTGTGTGTGTGTGTGATTGTTTCTTGGGCAGAGGTGCGTGCTATAGTGTCAGGTGAATGGATATGACCTTCAGTGGTACCTTATGCAGCAGAGATTCAGGGCCAGGGCAGAACGGATTGTCTGGGAGGAAGGAACAAGGCACTCAGCATGGCTTCTGGGAGGCAGGCCTAGCCCGGTGGGCCCTGGGGGGGCCTTTGGTCTACAATTAGACTTTATATATGTATACTGATAACTCACTGATTACCCAGAAAGAAAGAGAACAACATGCTGTAACTTTAAACTGTATTTCATTAAACTTACATTGTGTGATGCATTAAGAATTGTTTTAATAACCCTGCAATATCCTGTCACTAACACAATTTGACTATTGTTTATTAAAAGAGTTAAGATGCCAGTTCACTAAATGTCAACATTTAAAATACACTGCAATTAGTGTAAGTTTGTTTTTGGCTTTTCCTTATTTTTTAAAATATCAGAATCTCAAAAAGAAAAAGTTACCAAAGGCCCTGTCTGAGATATTCTGGTGCAAATAGTAAAACCACACAGTGCTACTGATGGTTCTCTCAATGTGATGCTTTTTCTGTCACCTCTATGCATTTCACACACTGTTCCCTGGGCCGGGAGCACAGACTTCTCATATTTACCCACTTCCACCCTCAGCACTATTTTTTGGGGATTACATCTTTCTTCAAAACTCAACCCACGTATCACATCCTCCCAGAAGCTCCCACTTCTTCCATCTTGGGTTCAAGGCCTCTCTTTTCATAGCACTTGTTATATTTACCACTCATCTCTCTTCTCCACTAGAGTATAAATTCCTTTAGGAAAGACACCATCCACTTCACCCTTTTTGTGTTCTCAGAATTGGCACAGTGTCTGGCACTAGGTAGATGCCCAGCCCTTACAGCAAGGTTCTGGGAATTTCAAATTTCTAATTATGTCCCTCTCCAGCATGATAGGAGCACAGTTTTAGAGGGTGGGTAGGTGGCACTAGTGGCAAAGAAGCTGCCTGATAATGTAGGAGACAAAAGAGACGTGGGTTCCATCTCTGAGTCAGGAAGATCCCTGGAGGAGGGCATCGCAATCCACTCCAGTATTCTCGCCTGGAGAATCCCATGGAGAGAAGAGCCTGGCAGGCTACAGTTCATAGGGTCGCCAAGAGTCAGACATGACTGAAGTGACTTAGCCTGAATGCATAATCCTAAGTTTATATGAGTAAATAGCACAGATTCAGCAGAAAGTATATCAACTGGGGAGAGACACGAATGCTACCCAGTTACACAGCAGGGCTCTGATTTCTTTTCTCCAACATTAGAGGTTTGGGGGCAAGATTAAAGCAGAGAGAAAATTTTTATTAGACTGAGAATAGGAGGTTGCTGGCACTGTGCAGGAAGACAGTTGAAAGTGAAATGCTTTGTCCCAGGCCAGGCACTGTGGAGAACAGACTTGGTGGAGCTGATGCAGCCCCTGCTAATCTCAAAGCTGTGCTGAGTCATGGACTCTTCCTGGCACGTGGCCTCTGCTCACAAAACACCCAGTGATGGTGTGAGTTGGCATTGTGCGTGCTTTCTAAAAACAAAAACTTTTCCTGTTCTTGTTTAGATGACTGGCCTTTTGCAATACAGACAGTTTTTAAAAATTATTGAGGACCAATCTATCATAAGAAGGGCTTGAGTCTTAAGAAGATTGAAAACTAGGGAAAATAAGACAACTCAGAAGACATGAATTAGTACTCCACTTTCATAGACTGTACAAGACTGTTATGCATTCCACCCAGATGATGACCACTTGTGTAATGTCCTGGAGAGTTGTTATATGGGGTCCATAAATCTTTGCTGGCATTACCTGGCACAGGCAGTGATGAAATCATTAGCTGACAGGCATATAAAACAAACTTATGGTTGCCACAAAGAAAAGGATAAATAAGGGAAGGGATAAATTAGGCGTTTTGGATTAGCAGATACAAAGTACCATATATAAGATAGATAAACAGCAAAGTCCTAATGTATAGCACAGAAAAATATTTTCAATATTTTAGAATAATCTATAAATCAAAAGAATATAAAAAGAATATATACATGTGTGTTTGTGTATAACAATCACTTTACTGTACACCGAGAACTAATACAACATTGTAAATCAACTATAATTTTGAGAAAAGATCATTGGCTGACAGAATTTGCACTGGAAACCAACATGTCAACTGGCCTAATTAATTCACTGGAGTAATTAATTATATAGCATTTTTCTAATTAGTGAATGTTTTCACCTGTCAGAACCAGAGGTAAATGCCACACTGGAATTGGTGGCGGTGGGTGGCGGGTGCGGGGTTCCTCCTCATTATACTCAACAGTAAATTGAGAGGAGCACAGAATACTAAACATAAGTGGGAAGGTCCCAGCAGTGGAAAGTGGGCATTCTGAGTCTCAACACTGTCAGGGGGCATTGGGAAAGAGCAGCAAGCAGACCACTTCGAGGTAGGTCATGAGGTCAGAGACATATGTGTTATTATAAATTACAAACAAGAACTACTGTCCCAAATTACAAGCAACATACATGTGCAGGCTTATTTTGTTTCAAAGTTTCCATTACCTTCAGTTTCCTTGGGGGTTTTTGGATACCCAAAGTGACAAATGTATGTTTGGTGGTGGCAATGACAGGGCTTAGGCTGCTACATTGGTTCCCTATTTACGGCCTTTCCTTTTCAATCAGTAAACTTTGCTAGCTAAGATGGACCACACGAAGCCAGTATGGGGTTTGAGGAGTTTCCCACAATGACTGTCACCAGGAAGAGGAGTATCTTTTAACATGCAGACTCCAATTAAGACACGGGCATTTGATACCTAACAAGGACATGTTGTATAGCAGGTGGAACTCTACTCAAACCTTTGTAATGACCTGTACGGGAAAAGAATCAAAATAAAAGCGGATATATGTATAACTGATTCACTTTGCTGTACACCAGAACCCAACACAACAGTGTAAATCAACTATACTCCAAAAAATTCAAAAAAAAAAAAGATATGGGCATTTGATTCTCCGCTGTTATGCACATCCTTACAGAGAAATCCATGCACATTATGGAATGCCTTGATCTGGTGCTGTTTGGGTATTTATGGACATTTGAAGCTCCAGTTTGCTTGAAAGTCATGAGACTAATATTCTTGATGCTCTCACCAGCGTAGAACTTCACCTGATTGCCACTGGGGCTAAGCCAAACGTGAAATAGGATGATGAAGTTCCTCTAACGTCTTTTAGATTTTCTGTCTGTAGAAGTATAAAGTGATAAACAACAGCAAACACGGTGAATTCATGGATTTCTTGACAGATATACCCTGTTTTCTGAAAATACTAGTCTGTATTTTGTTATTCTACCTGGGTTGATTTCTGACAGCTGCTTCATTGGATTTCACAGGCAGCCTTGGGTTTAGCTAAATAAAAAGTACCTGGAAACAGGTTTTGTTTAATTATCAGACCTTCTGTGTGAATTTGAACGGGCAAAGTTCAAATGAAAGGGTGTACTGAGTTCCTGAGTTTGTGTGTTTTTCTCACTTGTGATCACAAAGAATGAAAAAAAGTTGATGAGAGGTAGGATGGGGTAAGAAAACGAAATGTTTGGGAACTGAAAGTTTTCACATGTACCGGATACATTTTGAGACAACCTGGTGGATTTGTTATGGAAATCAGTGGAGGACTTGAAACCATATAGAGTTGTCTTAAAGTAAATAAGTCTGTGTGCTACCCCAGACCCATGCTGGACAAAGGCCAAATGTAAGGAGAGGGTGCACTGGTCAACAGTTAACAAATCAACGAACCTATCCTATTAAAGAGATAGGATGCCACACCTTCAAAGGGGGCCTATCTTCTTGGGGAAATGTTGCCCTGAGAGCTAGGGTATGGTATAAAAGGCTATGTCAGGGGAAAATTTTTGAATTGATAAGGGAGTTTAGAAAGCTAAGGGGAAAGTTCCATTAGCAGTTTCAGAAGAAAACAAGTTTAAAGGGAGAGTGGCATTCTAACATCATTCTACCGTGATTTGATCTGTAATTGAATAGCAAATTACAATATTTTTATTTTCTGTTATCAACTTAAGAGTGACTGTCTTCATATTATAGAGTATGGCTTCAATTTTACCTGCTTCCAATACATCCTTGAGATCTGACAGGAATACATACGTTGGGTGAGTAATTTTGACTTCTTTCTATTGACTTTGACAAGATGGAGGTTCTTTGGACTTTATATTAAATGTTCAGAAGATGGATCTCTACAGTTATGTAAGTTTCTTAAGTTTAGAGATCACATAGGTGGAACACAATTCAGAATACAAAGCAAAAACAATGCCAATTTTCTTCTCAATGACATTTTCTTTCCTCAGTTCTTGGGAGAGTTTAGCTCATCTTTAAGAAAGTGGGGCAATATGTCAATTACATCTCAATTAAAGAAAAAAGAAAGTGGGGGCAAAACAAGTCACAAAAAAACATGGAAAAGCTGAACCAAACTGCCTGAATGAACAAATTCACAGTTCAGCCTGAAATTCAGTGTGGAGTTCAGTCTTTAATTCCAAGACTATGTGCTGTATCTGAGATATAATTAAAAGGGCCTCCTGGTATCTAAGGCAGATTTAACTGTGTTGCAGCATATTACAAAGTGATTTCATATGCTTTGTGATGGACTTTACATAGAATTCACTTTTAAAATACCATGTAGGTTATTCATCTCAGAGGTAGACATAAATCTGTTGAAGCTGTCTGCAAATTTAGCTCCAATTCTTGCCCCAGGTTCACAGAACATAATAGAGCATTAATCTTCATGAAGCTTAAGGAATTTTTGCAAGTTCCCTCTGATTTGCTGAGAGTTGTGTAAAATGTCTGCTTAAAGCCTCCTTCAGGTCAGCATTTTAGAAAATGCTACACTTACACATACCAAACAGAAGTAGCCTTCCACTGTGTTCATTTCTTCAGGGAAGCCAAGGAGAAAGAAAAGGAAAAATTATGAAGATGGAGGCAATAGTAAAATGGAAAGACTTCTCAGCCAGTACTTTACTTTGGTTAACAATATTTAATACTGACCGTGCCATGTAGCTTGTCATAGTGTGCTAAAAGACTTTATTCCCAACCCCATCTCTGGCTTATGTTTTAGCAAAAAAAAAAAAAAAAAAAAGCAAAACAAGATAGAGGAGAAGACAGTAAATGCAAGTCTATTTAATAAAAAATTATATATCTTGGAAAAACTGAAGCAATTGTCTGATTCATACGGGATTGAATTTGGTATGATACCCCAAATTAATACTTTATTTGGTCATTGGTAAGCATGATCATCTTAGAAATGCTTCTCGATGAATCCAATGTAATAAAAATCTTCTACAGACATGTCCCTGCCAAGGGATCATTAGACAATGGGACATCAAGGAAAACTAAAGAATGAATTAAGAGGAGTATTATTATTAACATGAAAGAATATAATTAATGGTTATGCCAGTTTGAGAATTTCTTCTTGAAGATAGGAAGGGTGGAGTAGATCAGTGATTTTAAAAATACAAAGTCCCAGATCTCCTTGACCAACTAAATCAGATTTTCAAGGAGCTGGGTCCAGGTATCACTCCTTTTTAAAGCACCATGTATGATTCTGATATGTAGTTAGAGTTTGACTCACTGGAGTAGATGAACTCTTTTACAGAGTAATGATTCACTCATTCATTGGGAATCCAAAAGAAAAATATCCAGATAGGGAAGCTGTTTTGGCAGAGTAAGACAGGAAGCATAATAGAAACTGGAAGAGAAAGTGGTTGGTGGTGTTTCCCAAACTTTAATGTTCATGAGAATCACAAAACAGTTAGTTGAAATGTAGACTTCAATAGATCTAGGGTAGGGAGTGAGATTTTGCATTTCTAACAAGTTGCCCAGGTGAATGCTGCTGACCCTGCTGGTTCATTGACCACTTTGTCTAGCAAGGGACAGTGGGTAAATGTCCTCTTGCCCTTCATCAAGAGAAGAAAAGAGATATCCTTTTGCTTTGAAGCTTATTCTGAAAGTGCACTAATGCCATAGAATACTTTATTTTTGAAATCTACTCTGATTCACTAAGAATCTGTTATCCTAAATGTCTTGGAAATTAATAGTATTTCTGTTCTACTTCCTGAACAGTTAAATTTTATTCAGCAAGTAGAATTTTTAAAGATTTAGGAATTTAAAAAAAGATGTATATGTACAGCTGAGTCCCTACGCAGTTCACCTGAATAATTAGTTCACTGCTAATCGGCTATGCGTGTGTGCTCATTGTGTCCGACCCTTTGAGACCCCATAGACTGTAGCGCACCAGGCTCCTCTGTCCATGGAACTCTCCAGGCAAACGTACTGGAGTGGGTTGCCATTAATTAATTGGCTATACTCGAACAGAAAATAAAAAGCTTAAAAAAAAGATATATGAGAGAGCTTGCATGAGGGAATTCATATCTTTCTGCGAAGGCAAAAAAATTAACACGTGAAATGCTAAAATAAATGCTTTAGGAGCACAGTGGAGAGGAATTCATACTGACCAGAGGGGAAAGATGCTTTGAAAAGCCTTCACAGAGGGTATGGTATTTGAATTTGACTTTGAAGAATGAGTAGGAGGGTTTCCTTTTCTCCATACCCTCTTTATTGTTTGTAGACTTATTGCTCATAGACTTTTTAGATGGTGGCCATTCTAACTGGTGTGAGATGGTACCTCATTGTAGTTTTGATCTGCATTTCTCTAATACCTAGTGAGGGCTTCCCTGATAGCTCAGTTGGTAAAGAATCCACCTGCAATGCAGGAGATCCCGGTTCGATTCCTGGGTTGGGAAGATCCCCTGGAGAAGGGATAGGCTACCCATTCCAGTATTCTTGGGCTTCCCTGGTGGTTCAGCTGGTCAAGAATCTGCCTGCAATGCAGGAGACCTGGGTTTGATCCTTGGGTTGGGAAGATCCCCTGGAGAAGGGAAAGGCTACCCACTCTAGTATTCTGGCCTAGAGAATTCCATGGACTAGTCCATGGGGCTCAAGAGTCGGACACGACTGAGTGACTTTCACTTTCAGCATCTCTTCATGTCCCTCTTGGTCATCTGTATGTCTTCTTTGGAGAAATGTCTATGTAGGTCTCTGCCTCTTTTTGAATGAGTTTGTTGTTTTGATATTGAGCTGCATGAGATGTTTGTATATTTTGGAGATTAATCTTTTAATCAGTTGTTTCACTTGCAAATATTTTCTCTCATTCTGAGGGCTATCTTTTCATATTGTTTATGGTTTCCTTTGCTGTGATGAAGATTTTAAGTTCAATTAGGTCCCATTTGTTTATTTTTAAAATTTTCATTACTCAAGGCAATTTTACTCCAATAAAAAAATCTATATATATCTGAAACCATACTTTAAAAAAAGAGCGAGTAGGATTCCAATAATTAAAAAATGGAAGGGTAGCATAAGGCTGTTTCAGGAACAAAGGCCTAGAGCAAGGGTCCTTAACTTTGGCTTCACATCAGATCATCCCAGAAGATCTGAAACATAATCAGAGTTTAAGTTAATTGGGGCCCGAGCACCAGTGTTTCCTACAAAGCCCCTTGGTGATTTTAATGTAACAGTCAGGTTGAGGATCATCAGAGATATAGAAAGATACAAGGTTTTTGTTAAGGTGTTTTGAGGTATTTGGAGGGAAATGGGAGGTCTATAGAACAGAAAAGTCCCAGATGGTTCTTGGTAAAGATGGCTGGATCCACTGTGGTGTAGGGTACATAATTTTTTATCACTACTAATTAAAGCAGTATATAATTATTATTGAAATAACCAAAGGCTATATAGATGATGTGCTTCATAAATATGAACATTTGAATTAAGGTGATTTCTATAAAAGCAGTCAATTCATGGTCTTGATTTCCATGTCTTGTATTACTTTACCAAGGGAGGGATGAAAAACCGGTGGTTCAGGTTGCACTGCTGTGATGGAGGTCTAAGCTGGGGTAGTGGCCACTGGCATGGTGAGGAGGTGGTGTATTCAGTATGGTTGATGGAATCCTCAATGGCAGTGCTACTCTGAGTGTGATCCTTGGGCCAGCAACACCACACCAATGAGCAGCTTGTTTAAAAGGCAAAATCTGACACACACATACACCCCCAACCTGCTGAATCAAAATTTCTAGAGGAGAAGCCACAAAGTGTCCAGTGATTCCTATGCTTGTTGAACTTTAAGAAACACTGGTCTATGGAGCTGAGAGACACTATTGGACTCACAGATTACATGTACACATACACTCAGATACAGACATACACAAAACCCCATGGAAAGTTGAGGAGACAAAGAAATATGCAGAGATGAAAAGACAGCAGTGATAATATTCCCTCAGCAGAGCGTATGGAAGGATAGCCATGGGAGCAAAAGCCTGCCTGTGCAGAAATGATGGTTCTGCAATTTCCTGGTTATATAATCTTGCACAAGTTTCTCAACTTTTGTAAGCTTTGGCTTCTTACAAATTGAATTATTAGTGTTTGTTACCTAATAGAATGATTATAGGATTAAATGAAGTAATGTATTTATTATATGCAGTTTTTATGACATTGTGGAATTTTCATGCCTAATGCTATGCCTGGCACACAGTAAATGCACAGCAAATCTTTGTCATTTTTATTCATTATACTGTATTTCTTCCTTACAAATCAATTAATCCTAAATGAAGGTTTGTGTCCAACATTTGGGCTTATGGTTATCATAGACGTAGAATGCTATTTCTCTTTTGTGTGGTATCTCTCCAGATTCCTTTACATCTTCTTTGTACTTTTTTTTTTTTTTTTCAGAAAAAGTTTTGTTCATGTTAAAAATCCTTACCTGGACTCTATGGATGAAGATGTTCTCTATCACTTGGATTTAGGAACAAAAACACACAACCTACCAGAAATGTTTGGGGATGTAAAGGTAAAAGTATTTCTAACTTTAGGGAAAACAATTTAATTTCCTCTGGTGATATTTCTCCTTATTTTCCTAACATAAACATTACCCTTTTGGCTAGAGTAATGTCAGAGGTCTAATAGGAACCAAAGTCATGCTTATTCTCTGAAACAATTTAGATTGTGTATGTTATAAACAATCATTTCCACCTCAACAAGACACGTTCCCAAACTAAATCTAATGCAAACATTGTTATTTGACTTCTCTGGCCCCTAGAGATAAATCTGACTTTATTGACAATCCTGCTGGGTGTTCAGAATTCATTATGATTCAGTTCACTGTTTAACATCTTTATTTACAGATGAACCTCACTAATCTTCATTTTATCAAACCATGGAATAACTCAACAGAACTAACAATAGGATCTACCACTTCCTGAAAACAATTATTCAATATTTCATATTATTAAGATTTTTGTTATTTCATAAGACAATATTATGAGAAAAAATTGTTTATGGAATGTTACTAGGAAAATTGTATGTCTGTATTATTTATTTTATCTTAAATGTATATGTTAATTATAAAAGTGACTTATGTTCATTATTTAAAATTGGAAAAATATAAAAAAGAATAATGACTTTAAAAAACACACCTAAGAAAAACTCCTACCATCTGGACATAGATGCCATCAACTTATTTTCTTTTCTCTTAAAGCTTTTTAATAGATTTTAAAATAGTTGGAATTACATAACTTTACATCTTGTGTTTTTCATTTAACTTGATGTCATTAATATTTCCCCATATTACAATATTCTCTTTGAAACACAGTTTTTATGGATGACAAGTGCCTATGCCATGCATTATATAGTCTAAAGTTGGCTTTCATGTTGAAGTATTTATTTTCCATTATAAACAGCGCTCAAATTGATATTTTTGTACCTAAAATTTTTTCACATATAAGTCTATTTCTTTAAGATAATTTACAGAAATGGTCAAAGGGAATAAATTATTTTTAAATTAATTTTTATTGTAGTATAGTTGCTTTACAATGTTGTGTTAGTTTTTGCTGTATAGCAAAGTGAATTATAAGTCTCTCTTTATATATACATCCCCTCTTTTTTAGATTTCCTTCCCATTTAGGTCACCCCAGAGCATTGTGTAGAGTTCCCTGAACTGTATACTAGGCTCTCATTCATTATCTATTTCATATATGAACTTAAAAAATCTTTTTGTGTGCTCTAAAAAACCTACACTGAATCACAGTCCCACTACTAGAAAACTGTGCAGTTTTCAGCTGACTTTAATTCACTCCTTTAGCAATTATAAGAACAAAAATAAAAATTCGCATACCCACTATCTCAAATCTTCACATTCCCTCTTTTAGGTGGGTATAGCAGATATTCATTTCCTCCATAAAGTAAGGAAATTGAGTTCAGGGTGGTCAAAGGTAGTTAACAAGTTATGCCATACGGGGCAGAGCCAGGGCTTTCCCAGTTTCCAGGATTCTTGCATACTGCACTACGTGGGCTCTTTGAGTCATCGTAACTGAGAACAGTCCATTAATTGGCTGGGGGCACTGGAGAAAGGGGAGGAAGAGGAGGAGGATGGTAGTTACGTGGAGAAGGAGGAGAAGGAAGGAAAGCGGGAAGAGGGAGGTGAAGAAATCAATCTATGATGCTCATTAACAGTAGGTGTTAAATTGCTTCCTCCCCTCCCATTGCTTCTATGGCACAAGCTGTGATGATACAGGCTGATCTGATGTGACCTGCCTGTGTCCTTACTCCCCTGCAATCAGTGACTCCTTGCCCTTTCATGGCATCCCTCAATCTTTTGCTTCATCTTTTCAATGTAATCTCTTTTCCTACTGCTGTTTCTGATATTTATGCTCCAAAAGAAATTGATCAAGACCATCTGTGATACTCATTAACCAGACTTTATCTGAATTCAGGTTAGGTTTGAGGTTCATGCCTCACTATTTTTCCAGGACCCTTATATAAGGATAACTCTGATTAATTAAATGATCCATTGTAATTAATAAACTAAGGTGCACATCTAATTAAAAAGACATGTTTTTGAGACAGAACATGATCTATTATTTACATATCTAGGTATCTCTCTCTCTTCTACCTGACTGGATTTTTATCAGCACTCATACTTTATCATAACCACTATCCAATCTTAAAAATTCATAACCCACCTGGTTCTGGACTACTTCAGTAGATTCTGTCTTGGATAAAACGACATGCTCTGGTTTAGAACACATTTCTACTAAAGAACAACTCTATTGATTGGGCCATTTGGATGGCTAGGAGGCAAACGTGTATGTGTGTGTGTGTGTAGACTGGGGAACAAGTAATGTAGTTCCAAATAATCTGAACTGGCTGTTTATTCTTTAGAGGCAGCAGGTAAAATCTGACATATTTATTAAGGCTCTTCTCAGAAACTTGCCTCCTTCCAGTTACATTCTTATCTTTGATCGAGAACATGCTAGGTGCAATTACTTGACTCACTTAAATTCCAAGATAGCAATCCTAGGAAAGAAGAGAGGACATAACCCATCAGTACCTGAAAACTTAGCCTTATCTTCACAGAGATGATCATTATTAATACCACTGTGTTCAAAGAAAAGAAGAACTTTGAGTGTCTAAAATTTTTAAACTTAAAATTTTGAATCATTGAAATGATCTCTGTTTTCTTCATTTTTTTACTTACCATACTTAAAAGGGCTTTGTTAGCTGTTACTTCAAAATACCAGTGGCCTAACACAATGTAAGTTTGTTTCTCACCCACACCGAGTACCAAGTGGGTGCCCCTGGTCAGTGGGTCGCTTTCCTCCAACTGGTGATTAAGGGTCCAGACTTCTCTCATCTTGTTGCTCTGTCATCTTCAAGGGGTGCCTTGCAAGGAGTGCCTGGGTGTCAACACCCATTCAGCAGACACATGGAAGACAATCTATAGGATCATTAATGGGAGATTTCTCTGGGTGAGAACTGGAAGTGACACTCATCACTTCTGTTCACATTCTAGCAGCTGGAGCTCAGGTATATAGCCTCATCTAACTGAAGAGAAGGCTGGAAAGTTACATTTAGTAGTGTACCCAGAAAGATGGGGAAATAGCCTTGGTGAACAGCTAATGTATTCTGTCGTACTGACTTGACTCAATCAATCATCTGAAAATTATAGTGGGGGATCTTTAGAAGCTATCTGCTCAAATTCAGCCTCCAAATATATCTTTTATAAAATCACTAACTGGTACCCTCCGTTCTCTCCCTAGAAATTTCAAGTAATACGGAAAAGCATTATACCACTATGTAATGTGTATTTTAAGTCTTTTTACTTCTTTATTAACATATGAAACACATATACTTAAATAGGACTAGATGAATACAACATGGCAAAGCTAAGTCTTTCAAAACAGTAGGCATATTTGAAAGTGAGTTCACTCTGGCAGTCATTAGGCCAAGTCCTTAACATAGTTTTGCAATGCTTCAGACTCCTTCCCAACTAGTTTTTATCTCCTTTGATAGAACTAGGACAAATCATAATTGAGGGGAGCATAAATCACAGAAATTGTTGCTTAAGGTTAATGTTGGTTGGTGGTCTTCAGTTGTATTTTACTTCTCATCAAAGCAACCAGACTGAAAATTATGTCCAGAGGTGATATTTAGTAAGTCTGATTTAGAAATAACTCTTTAAGAACAAAAATGCTTTTGTCTATACTTATCATCTCTATGTCTCCAGAAACATTCAGAAATTCCCATTGATTACAGCAATATCTACGTTCAAAGAAGAATTCAAACTGCGAGGTATTCCAACATCTGTTTTGGTTTTATGGTCAATCTGAATAGCTGTAATTTACATTTATGGTACCACACAATGAGGTTATTTTCAAACTACTGTATTTTGTAAAAAGGAAACAACAACAACAAAAATGACCTCCTTGTACTTAGATCTTGAGCCAAGTCTTAACTATCCATACCCACAAGGGGAAAATTTCATGAATAATCAATAATAATTCAAAAACTCACCTTGGACCATGGTCTTATCCTCTTTGCTACTCAGGCTTGATGAATACCTTTCATTACAGTTCATATCAACTTTAGGCCCCGACCAAGAGCCTTGCAAGAAGGCACAGAAATGACAATAATGTGGGTAGGAGAGAAGCAGAGGGCCTGGATAAAAGGGTAATTTCCCCCCATAATAGAGAATGAGGTGGCACAGGAATTATTGCTAAATGGAAACAGAATGCTTCGTGTAGTGAGACTACCCGTCATTCACAGTAAATCGATCGTGAATTGGGCACCTAACTCTACAACCTCAGTTAGGTATCTCCTTCGGCAGATACTCTTTATCCCCGTGAGAGACCTCATCGACAATCTTTCTGAAGCTCTGCCCAACACTGCCTGCATCAGTCAGGCAGCACCAGCTGCCTTTTCCTTGCTGGATTTGAACCAGCTTCATTTGCAAACATTATGCAAATACAGAAACAAATAAGCAAGCTAAAAGCAGGGCTAGGAAATTGCTCTATAATATGAAAGATGGAAGTTACCATTTGTTGACCACTCAAAAGGTGCCTGGCTTTGTCCTCTATCACACTCAACAAAATCCTCAAAAGAGACTATATTTTTTCCCTGTTTTGGTCATGATGATCTGAGGCACATAGAGATTACCTGTAAGACACTGAACAAGCTTCTTAATCAGAGACAGGATTGGGGTACAAAACCAGGCTTCTCTAACTTCAAAGAGCAGTCCTTTAACCACTATGTTTCCATATCTCTCTGACTCAGGGCTTCTTCAGACTCTGTACACTTTACCACTCAGCTCAGATTCCAGAATGACTTTGCACCTGGTACCTTTCTGTGGACTATGCTTCACTGGGTCTCTGGTACCTGCTGCCACTCATCATCCCACTGCTGAGCACTGGTCCCCACAAAGCTGGCTGCTCATCCACGCTACACTTAGGTCATGCCCATCCTGTCTCTGGCATCCACCTCTCCCAGCCCTGGGGCTGATGTACCCCTAACAGGCTATTGCACAAGCAATTACCAGACAATTTTATTACTGTACTTTATTAGATTTGACACTCTTGACTGCAACACATATTGTAACTTCAAAGATGTTAAAATGTGAATGAATAAGACAAAAATAAAACCGAATCATTGGAAGTGATGAAATACCATACTGAGATTTTTAGTCTACAATGATAAGGCTTGTTCCATGAGGATTTCTTCTGAATGAGAAGTTGGAAAGCCTTGTGCTTTCTTTTAAGTTTCATGTTAACATCGTGTATTTCACAATAAAAGCATATGATTTGTAGGGTGGAATCAGAAAACATATCTAAAGTTGTTATTCTCTTATGGTTACTCTCACATTACTTATACTCCATGTCCACAGAATTGCCATGTTAAGCTTGTAGCCCACTAATGCCCAACAACAGGCTGCCTGTATGAACTTAAAATGCTGGTTGATGTTCACTGTGACAAAAATACCCACTTGAACAAAATCAACACTTATTTTGATTTTGTGATTATCTTTTTCTTTACTAATTAAGTACATCAAACTTTTTTTCTGGTTGCCTGATTTCCCAGTTAATGATGCCAATTATTTAACTCATGAACATTAACCCAGAAGGTCTACATATATCCTGAAGTACATAACTGAAAAACAAAATAACAACATTAAAGTTGAAAGATGACCCTTGCCTTTTATCTCAGGTACTAAGGCAGGTAATTGTTTATTTTTATTATCAGTTTGTCTGTGTTGGTGGGAGCCCCAACAGAATGAAAGCATTTGCACTGTTTATGCACAAGGAGCTCAGATTGGAGGACGGTGAAGAGGACATCAAGGATATCTGTGCTGGGACAGACAGATATTGTATGTACAAAATCGGCCCCGTCCTCTCCATCAGTGTAAGTACTCAATAGCTGCATGTCACCTAGTCATCACAAGCGAGCAAAAGAAAGTGGGACCTTTCAAATATAGGAGTTCCTTTTCCTCTCCTTCTTTGCACAGTTAAAGTAAGTGTCCAGGTGTGACATTCATAGTTGGAAAAAGTCCTAGGGGCAGAAAATAACATTCCGTGCCACTTTGGTATCCTTTATTAGTTACGACTAAGCTATGCAAGTTAGGGGGAAAAGGCTTCAAAGCATACTTCCTCTCTTTAGTTTGTAACTGATTAATAAGCCACCAGCAATTTTTCTCCTCTATGTCTTATCCAACTTTGGGAATGTTGGGCTTTTAGTACACAGGGTCTAATTTTCAGGATTACCAAAGTGGTGCCATTTAACACTATACTAAGCTTGCTGAAAAGCTGCTAATGCATTTCTATGCAGATCTTGTAAATTGCTCTCCTGTATTTAGAACATGCTAACAGTTCTGGACACACAGTGTCCTGAAACAATATGAAAGTGGAATGACTTGCAATCTTAAGGGACACAAAGCCTCTTTCCCTCTTGGACCCAGGATAGCATATACTTAGCCAAGTATAAATGCATGTGCACCCAGCTTGCCTTCCAAGTGGGTCTCTCTGCCACAGGGCTGTTTTCTGAAACAACAGCTCTGAGGCGGTACATATCTAGACACTGAAGCCCCCATAAGGAGACAGTTAACCATGTCAGATGACAAGTGAAGAATCTACAACAGGGTGTGACAATTCTAAGGAGCTGAATTATACATGACTCCTGCACTAGGGGATAACTACTTCTCCTCAGTCACTCTGGAGATGGAAGAATGGATGATCATGGCTGCAAGCCTGGACTGAAGAAGGGAAAACTATGCAACACTAGTGGAACAGCCAAGTTGATCTCTCCTCTGAGTCAAAATACATAAAACCTGCTTTGGACTCAAATGGGAGAAACCATTCATTCATGTATTTGTTTATCTAACAGTTATAGAATATCTACATTAGGAAAAACTGAATACCCCCTGATCTTGGCATATTTTGTCTTACTAACTTTTGTTTGACTTTTAGACTACAACTCTTTGTCCTTTTTTGCACAATAAATGTGGAAGGACAAAAAGGTAAAATTTATAAAAATGAGAAACTATCATAAATAAATAGTAAAACTTCAGATATAAAAACAGCAGCGACTGATACTGTTGACCTGTCAGAAAAAGAACTGAAATATGCATCATGCCCGAAGAGATCAGCCAATTGGAAATGAGCCTCAGTAGGCAAAAAGAAGATTTCTAGTTGAGATTCCTTCTTTGAAAATTCTTCCTCTCCAAAAGCTGCTGAGGTCTGGGTGTGTGTGTGTGTGTGTGTGTGTGTGTGTGTGTGTGTAAGAGAGAGACAGACAGAGAGTTCAGTAGAAATACACAAGCCCATTTGTCACTTTATCACCATGCCGTATATAAAGTGATAATCATAAACCTATCAAGTATCTGATTTAGGAGGAAACTAATAGATCAAATAATGGTTCATTCTCTTCATTTATAATTGAGGAAATGAGACTTAGAGAGTTTATTCATTAGTGGCAGAGCCCAGACTTGTTAATCTTGGACATACAATTAATATAGGTTTGATTCATGCTTCTAGGAGACTTACGATGCATTTGGAAGTCAGAACATGTTCCATGGCAACCAAAAATAGGAAGTCCAGAAGTTCAAAGTTTCTGTAGTTTAATATTCTTGATGGTGAAAAAAAGGTAACTCAAGTGAAAATATTGTGCCCATGGCTGAGTGGTTTTCCAGATTTGTTAATGAAGAACTAGTGGAAGCCATCACCTAACTGCCAAGATGCCCCTGGTGCTTTGTGCACACAAAGTCTTTGTGCCTGAGTAGAATACTGAAGACCATATTTGACTCTCTGGCATTATGTTAGAAATGAAATAGAAACTGATTCTAAAGTTAGCTCCATCTACCACAAATTCCAGCATGGAGGATCTTTCTGGAACATTATTAGAACATATTGTAAATGCCAAGAATGGCCAAGTCCTCTAACCTGTGTTGATCTTTATTCTATGACAATGATTCTACTCTTCCAAATGCTGAGGAAGATGGGGTTGCAGTCATGATCTATAGCAATTTAATCAACGACTTAGTCTCACCTACACATTTAGTATGGGCTTCCCAGGTGGCGTTAGTGGTAAAAAACCCACCTGCCAATGCAGGAGACATAAGAGACGTGGGTGTGGAAGATCCCTGGAGGAGGGTATGGGAACCCACTCCAGTATTCTTTGCTGGAGAATCCCAAGGACAGAGGAGCCTCATGGGCTATAGTTCATAGGGTTGCAAAGAGTCGGACACAACTGAAGTGACTTAGCAGGCATGCACACACTTAGTATATGCTCCAATTTTTAGGTGTAGGTATAACCCATATCTCTAACTTTGTACCTTTCAAAGCTCACACAGAGTTACCAGCAAATGAACATGGATACATGGATCAATGAAATGGATTTACTCTTTCATTTACTATGGTGGAAAAGGACTAAATACATGGCAGCGAAATCTATATTTCCTCGAAATCAAGTCAATCTTACAAAAAGCTCTTTTTCAAAGACTCATTGTGAAAAGCCCAGAAATGGTACTGCCCTGACACACCAGTACACCACGCTGTCCCCACCTTCTGCTCTTGACAATGAGGGCTGAACTCAGTTTAACTGGCAGGGAGATGCCTCTCTTTGATCATCACAGATGGACCCATCTATCAGCATGTCATGTGGGCGTCAGTTAGAGCTGACTTACGTTTTTCTCAGCTTTGGCAAAGTCATAATGATTATGTAAATTCATCTGCGGGCTGTTAACTTGTAATGAAGGAAGAAAATATGTCCTATGCATGTATCAGTCTGCGAGATGTATAATGACTTTCCCTTTTCTCTCCACAGCATGGCATGGGCATCCCCTCCATTTCTATTATGCTTCATGAACTCATTAAATTACTATACCATGCCCGGTGCTCTGACGTTACCATTATCAGAATCGGTACATCAGGGGGAATAGGTGAGATGAACTGATTTCTATACTATACTAATAAATCCAAGTAATGGTTCCATACAGGGTAGCTAGCTGCGAAAGCATACCAACATACTCAGAGCCCCGCTGAAACCCAGATGGCCTGAAAAGTGTCAGGAGGCTGAGCTTGAGGCAATTTGGAAATTTATACTTAGAGAAAACTAAAGGAATTTAAAGAAATATGTGTGTGTGTGTATATATATATACACACACACACACACATATATATATATACACACACACATATATGTGTGTATGTATAATCTTTCTCTTTTTACCTGCATGGAATCCTGGAGTGAGACATCACACTGCCCATTGCCCAGATAGGCTTAGGTGTTCTTAAAGGGAAGAGTGAAACAATTGCTAGGAAATTTGCTTTGAGAATAAGAATAAGTTTCAAGTGTTAGCATAAATTTTGAAGCTTAAAAATTTTATAAGTGACAGAAATAACTGCTTTCAAGTGAAAAAAAAGTCCCTAAGACTTGCCTTATTTACCAGCTAAGTACGAAGATGTCAACAGTTCCCAGGAAAGCATTGTTTCTAGCTCGCGTCAGTGACTACCCTTTACTTGGCTTGGTCTGGGTCTTTTCTACATGGACATACCAGAAGACATCAGGCCAGGCTGTTAGGCAAGAGTCGGGAGATGCTTCCAAAGTTTTTCTCATCACCAGCCCTCCTCCCTTATTCCTCAGCTGGCCAGGCAACTGGTCAGGAGCCGTGTTTATATATCCACCTTGGGTTCAGGTAAAGTTCGGAGGAGACCTTCTTCTTCAACCTTTTCCTCAGGAGCAGATCTTGTGAGAGAATGATTCTACTATGTCAAGAAATGCAAACAGCAGGGCATTGCAACTGAAAATGTTGGGTTGACAGAGTGACAGGACTGAATGGGAATTTTTTTTTTAAAGCTGGAAATTATTTTAAAAAATTTGGTCTTAGAATTACACAAGTGGCTAAGTCGTGCTTCACTGGAAACAAACGTTAAAAAAAATCATGTCCTTTCCACAGCTGTGGTACAGGAATAAAGTCCATCCAAGACCCTCACAGACGGATTAATGGACATCTATGGATGTCCATTCAGAAGAGAAGGAGAATGTTAGCAATCATTGTTAGATCAGGCATCCTTCGGGATGGTTGTTTAGCTAAAGTTATGCCAAATATGCAATAGTAGGGAATGAGGCATTTGGGGGTGAAATGGATAATGTTGTTATAAAAAGTGCTCAGAATTCTTGAGCTGTGGGATACAAGGATCTGTCTGTGTAGCCTGTGCCCATGCAGTGTACCATCCTGACCGCTGAGGTTTCCCTACGATATTAGCAAGTGTCCAGTGTGGGCAAGGTACCCTACTGACTATCCGGCTTATGGTCATGGACTCTAGGTGTTTTGCTTCATGATACATACATCCCTTGCAGCACAATGAAGGCCTATGAATTGTGGGAAATTAAAGCAATGTGCTGTTGTGGATATCTATCATTTTGAAGTTGGTCTCATTAAGAATTCTTAACTTATTGGTAAGATGTGTTTGTTTGTTTTGTCGTAAGAAGCATTGATTTGCAGATGAAGAATGTGCAACTTGTTTTTTTCCCCCCTTATGTTTCCATTCTTTAGATGAGCCAACAAAACTTGATGATGATGAAGTATTTGAATAAATAGTAAATAGTACATTAGCCTTTAACTGGGATAAAAATGTTTCAATGCATCTAAATAATAGGATGGCATGTGAATAACTTCATTATTGATGTCCACATTTTCAGTTTCCTTCTCAGTCACTTTCTTGTCTTTAGGACATTGTGAATAATTCAAGAAGCTACTTTTTTGATTTACTTAAAAAGTATCTGACCTACCAAGTTTCTATTATCATAGTCCACTTTGGGTCTCTACCTGGATTTTCTAAATCAACCACATGCTGACATGTGGGATTTATTAAGAACCCAGAAGGATATGTCTATGCACTGTGGTAGAGGTTTGTAATTTTTTTCTATACTAAGTCACATAATAAATATTTTAGGCTTTGCAGTCCATATGGTTTCTGTTGCAACATCTGAACTCTGCCATTAGTGTGGAAACAATCATTAAAAATAAGCAAATGAGTGAATGTGGCCGAGTTTCAATAAAACTCTATTTACAAAGATGGAATGGATCTGGCCCATAAGTTATAGTTTTCAGATCTCTGTCTATGGCATCTCTATGAAAACATTTCACTCATTCAATGAATTTTACTTATAATGAGTACTTATAATGTGTCATGGATCACAGCTTTGCTGTGGCAAAGGGGCTTGCATAACTCAATGAAGCTATAAGCCATTCCATGCAGGGCTGCCCAAGATGGACAGGTCATAGTGAAGAGTTCTGACAAAATGTGGTCCACTAGAGGAAGAAATGGCAACCCATTCCAGTATTCTTGCCATGAGAGTGCCATGAACAGCATGAAAAAGCAAAAAGATATGACACCAGAAAATGAGCCCTCCAGTTCAGAAGGTGTCCAATATGCTACCGGGGAAGAGCAGAGGGCAGCTACTAATAGTTCCAGAAATAATTAGGTGGCTGGGCCAAAGCAGAAATGACACCCAGTTGTGGATATGTCTGGTGGTGAAAGTGAAGTTCCATGCTGTGAAGAATAATATTGCATAGGAACCTGGAATGTTAGGTCTAAAAATCAAGGTAAATTGGAGATGTTCAAGCAGGAGACGGCAAGATTGAACACCGACATCTTAGGAATCAGTGAATTAAAATGGAACAGAAAGAGCAAATGTAATTCAGGTGACCATTTTATCTACTACTGGGTGCAAGAATCCCTTCAAAGAAAGAGAGTAGCCCTCATAGTCAATAAAAGAGTCCAAAATGCAGTACCTGTGTGCAGCTTCAAAAACGACAGAATGATTTTGATTCATTTCTAGGCAAACCATTCAATATCACAGCAATCCAAGTCTATGCCCCAATCACTGATGCCAAAGAAGCTGGAGTTGATTGGTACTATGAAGACCTACAAGACCTTCTAGAACTAACACCAAAAAAGATGCCTTTTTCATCATAGGGGAATGGAATGAAAAGGTAAGAAGTCAACAGATACCCAGAATAACAGGCAAGTTTGGGCTTGGAGTACAAAATGAAGCAGGATAAATGCTCAGTTTTTTCACAAGAAGATGCTGGTCACAGCAAACACCCTTTTCCAATAACCCTAGAGATAGCTCTACATATGGACATCATGAGATGGTCAATACTGAAATCGGATTGATTATGTTCTTTGCAGCCAAAGATGAAGAAGCTCTATACAGTTAGCAAAAACAAGACCTGGAGCTGACTGTGGCTCAGATCATCGGTTCCTTATTGCAAAATTCAGGGTTAAATCGAAAAATGTAGGGAGATCGGCTAGGTCATTCAGGTATGACCTAAATCAAATCCCTTGTGATTATACAGTGGAGATGATGAATAAATTCAAGGTATTAGATCGGGTAGATAGAATGCCTGAAGAACTATGGAAGGAAGTTTATAACACGGTACAGGAGGTGGTGACCAAAACCATCCTAAAGAGAAAGAAATGCAAGAAGGCAAAGTGGTTGTCTGAGAAGGCTTTGCAAAGAGCTGAGGGAAAAAAAAGAGAAGCAAAAGGCAAGGGAGGAAGGGAAAGATATACCTGATGGAATGCAGAGTTCCAGAGAACAGCGAGGAAAGGTAAGAATGCCTTCTTAAATGAACAATGCAAAGAAACAGAGGAAAACAATAGGATGGAAAAGACTAGAGATCTCGTCAAGAAAATTGGAGATACCAAGGGAACATTTCATGCAAGGATGAAAAGTGAAAGTGAAAGTCGCTCAGTCATGTCTGACTCTTAGTGACCACATGGACTACAGTCTGCTAGGCTCCTCTGTCCATGGAATTCTCCAGGTAAGAATACTGGAGTGGGTTGTCATTCCCTTCTCCAGAGGATCTTCCTGACCCAGGGATCGAACCTGGGTCTCCTGCATTGCAGGAAGATTCTTTACCAACTGAACCACTATGATAAAAGACAGAAATGGTAAGAATCTAACAGAAGCAGAAGAGATTAAGAAGAAGTGGCAAGAATATACAGAAGAACTTACAAAAAAGGTCTTAATGACCTAAATAATCATGATGATGTGGTTATTCACCTAGAGCTGAACATCTAGGAATGTGAAGTCAAATGGGCCTTAGGAAGCATCACTATGAACAAAGCTACTGGAGGTGACGGAATTCCTGCTGAGCTAATTAAAAATCCTAAACGATGATGCTGTTAAAGCGCTGCACTCAGTATGTCAGCAAATTTGGAAAACTTAGCAGTGGCCACAGGACTGGAAAATGTCAGTTTTCCTTCCAATTTGAAAGAAGAGCAATACTAAAGAATGTTCCAACTACCATATGATTGAGCTCATTTCCCATGCTAGCAAGGTTATACTCCAAATCCTTCAAGCTAGTTTTCAGCAGTAGTGAACTGAGAACTTCCAGGTTTACCAGCTGGGTTTTGAAGAGGCAGAGGAACCAGAGATCAACTTGCCAACATTCACTGGATCATGGAGAAAGCAAGGTAGTTCCAGAAAAACATCTACCTCTGCTTTATTGACTCCACTAAAGCCTTTGACTGTGTGGACCACACCAAACTGTGGAAAACTCTTAAAGAGATAGGAGTACCAGACCACTTTACCTGTCTCTTGAGAAACCTATATGGGGGTCAAGAAACAACAGTTAGAACTGGACATGAAACAAAACACTGGTTTCAAATTATGAAAGCAGTATGACAAGGCTGTATATTGTCACCTTGCTTATTTAACTGTTTTGCAGAGTATATCATGCAAAATGGCGGGTTGGATAAATCACAAGCTATAATCAAGATTGCCAGGAGAAATATCAATAACCTCAGATATGCAGATGATACCACTCTAAAGGCAGAAAATGAAGAGGAACTAAAGAGCCTCTTGATGAGGGTGAAAGAAGAGAGCGGAAAAGCTGGCTTGAAACTCAACATTCAAAAAATTAAGATCATGGCATCTGATCCCATCACTTCAAGGCAAAAAGAAGGGGGAAAACTGGAAAACAGTGTCAGACTTTATTTTCTTGGGCTCCAAAATCACTGCAGATAGTGACTGCAGCCATGAAATAAAAAGACGTTTGCTCCTTGGAAAAAAAGCTGTGACAAACCTAGACAGTATATTGAAAAGTGGAGACATCATTTTGCCAAAAAAGGTTCATATAGTCAAAGCTATGGCTTTTCCAGTAGTCATGTATCGATGTGAGAGTTGGACCATAAAGAAGGTTAAGCGCCGAAACTGAAGCTTTCAAATTGTGGTGCTGGCCTTTCGGCCAGAACCACCACCTTCCAGTAATTCACCAAAATGACCAACACAAAGGGAAAGAGGAGGGGCACCCGCTACATGTTCCCTAGCCCTTTCAAGAAAACACGGAGTTGTTCCTTTGGCCACATACATAGAAATCTACAAGAAGGATGATATCGTGGATATCAAGGGGATGGGTATTGTTGAAAAAGGAATGCCCCATAAATGTTACCATAGCAAAACTGGGAGAGTCTACAGTGTTACCCAGCATGCTGTTGGCATCATCGTAAACAAACAAGTTAAGGGCAAGATTCTTGCCAAGAGAATTAATGTGCATATAGAGCATATTAAGCAACCTAAGAGCTGAGATGCTTCCTGAAATATGTGAAGGAAAATGATCAGAAAAAGAAGGAAGCCAAAGAGAAAGGGACTTGGGTTCAGCTGAAGTGACAGCCTGCTCTACCCAGAGAAGTACACTTCATAAGGACCAATGGAAAGGAACCCAACAAACTGCTGGAGCCCATTCTCTATGAATTCATGGCCTGATGGGTATAAAAATAAAGACCTGGACTATAAACAACACAAAAAAATTGTAGTGCTGGAAAAGACTCTTGAGAGTCACTTGAACTCCAAGATCAAACCAGTCAATACCAAAGGAAATCAATTCTGAATATTCATTGGAAGGACTGCTGCTGAAACTGAAGTTCCAGTACTTTGGCCACCTGATTTGAAGAATTGACTCATTGGAAAAGTCCCTGATGCTCAGAAAGAGTGAAGCCAAAAGGAGAAGGGGGTGGCAGAGGATGAGATGGTTAGATTGCATCAGCAACTCAATGGACATGAATTTGAGCAAACTCTGGGACATAGAGGACAGAGGAGCCTGGTGTGCTGCAGTCCATGGGGTTACAAAGAGCTGGACTCATAGTGACTGAATAACAACAAAACCTATAATGTGATAGGCATAATACTACCAAGGAGAAAACAGAGGACAAATACTGCCCTTGCCTTTATAGAGCCTATGTTTTATCAGGACAACAGACAAACAAATGAGGAATTACAAGAAGTGTAATGAATCTTAGGACAGAGAGAATCTAGTGAAGAAAGTGTTGGTTGCTCAGTTATGTCCAACTGTCTGTGACCCCATGGACTATAGCCTGCTAGGCTCCTCTGTCCATGGGATTTCCCAGGCAAGAATACTGGAGTGGGTTTGCCATTTCCTTCTCCAGGGGATCTTCCCAACCCAAGGATCAAACCCAGGTGTCCTGCATTGTAGGTGGATTCTTTACCATCTGAGCCATCAGGGAAAGCCTCCTGGGGAAATTGAATGTAATCTATCTGTGTACCTTTTAGACCTCCCCACACTCCACTGTGGATTCAGATCTTTTGAAGGAAGGGATTTAAACTGACACTTGAAGAACAGGTTGGAGTTAGTCTGATGAAAGTGCATGGGGGAGGATGAGACAGCGCGTCAGGCCAGGGGAATAACAGTTGGCAGAAAATGGTTTCTCAAGTCCCAGACACTTGAGTTCCTGAGTCCCAGGAGCAAACCAGACTTTGTATCAATGAAAGGTCAGACAAGAGGCCTAATTTACATGGGGTGGGAGAGGGGAGGAGGGAATGGATGTGATGAAGATCAAATGGAAGAGAGGACAGTGATGCAAAGAAATTATAGTAATCAAAGAGCAGCAGAGAAGATTAAATATCAAATAGTCACATCACTTTATGAAGACTACTTGCTGGCAGTCTCACTTAGTTTATTCCTGATCTAATTTATTCAAATTTGAGCCCGAAGGCCAATACTAATTTGCATGCCCAAGAGTCATGTTTATCTTGAAATCTAAACCCCATCACATTGTAAATGTGAACCTGGAAAGATAGCAAATGTAAATGCCTCTTTGGAGTGTTACTATTAATTGCATTTGGAAAAGAAAATAATTTAAAACTTGAAAATCCAGAGAATCATTAGCAACTAGCATTAATTAATGCTGGAAGAAGAAAAAAATGCTGGAAGAAGAGATTATATACTATGTGTCACAAGTCAACTCTAAGTGACATTCTTCTGTAACCACCTATTTATTCCCATACTGCAGGGATTGCACCGGGATCTGTTGTAATAACAGATGAAGCCGTAGACTCCTTCTTTAAGCCCCGGTTTGAACAGGTAATCTTGGACAACATTGTCACCAGAAGCACTGAACTTGACAAAGAGCTGGCTGAGGAACTATTCAACTGTAGCAAAGAAATTTCCAACTTCCCAACCCTCATTGGACATACGATGTGTACCTATGATTTTTATGAAGGTGAGAAGAATTTATAAACTGTGAAAGCAGCAGAAAATTACCAGCAATACTTTGTTATTCAAACCTATAATTTATATTAAAAACTTCACCATAGAGAATTAATAATTGGGGATTTAAAGAGGCACTGAAACAGCCTTTTCAACTTACTAAAGTAAAGAAATGTAAGGACATAATAAGCAGAAGAGACATACACATAATGAATTTATTTTGAGAGTGGGTTTAATCCTCCAAGAACAAATTGGATACTCTATGCAATTAGTGATGTTCGTAAAATCTTATCTCTGTTTATATCTTTAATTTAAACTGGAGAAGGGGGATACACTTCTCTGCTTCTGCCATTTTGAGGTACATTCACCAGTACCTTGAAAAGGAGCAGGAACCTAGAAAAGAGTGGGAACCAGGAAATCAGGAGAAATATTTGGAGGGGGAAATCCTGAAGGGATGGAATAGTCTCAGATCAGTTCTCTTCTCTTTCAGCCATGAGTAAAAGGTCCTCAAATCAAGTTTAGGAACAAATTGAAGGTGACTTCCAAGTAGCAGTTCTTGCTACAAGGGGTGGGGGGCCAGGAGAAATATCATTCCAGAACAGACCCTGCTCATTCCACAAGAAAGAATCTAACCAGGGTTGGTACCATTCCTTGGAGGACATTCTAGAAATCTTGTAGTACAGCTGTGTTTAAGTATGTTCATCAAACCACATATTACTTCATTTTTAATTATTTTTCTTTTCCCTTTGGATCAAACTTAAAGTACTACATTGAATTCTAAGCAATTATTTGTGAAGATACATTATATTATCTATACTGGTTACTTCAGGTTAGTAAATGTGTTGTCACAACATACGCGTTATAAAATAGGAGGTGCTTTGGGTCTGATAGGGTAAAGACTCCATCTCAGGCCACTGGCCCCTTCATTGGGAGGGTCACCAATGAATTTAAGCCAGAGCTTGCAAAGAGCATATGTAGGAGTCAATGTTTCTTTGGGCTGCACAGTATTTTTAAAGTGGGAATTATTTTGCCAACATTTATACGTTCTGGATATTTCATATGAAAAACGAAAAAAAATTTTCATTTTTCATATGAAAAACCCAGGTTTTTGGCTTCTTGAAATAACATAATATTAAAAATATAAAATAATTTATGCACAGCTGCCCTGGCAAGTCACACCTGGGGCTGCATTCACTGAAGGTGAGGTGAGGCTGCTCCCTTCCCACCAGGCACACCTCACTGACATTACCTGCTTAACTTGTGGGACGTCTGCGTTTAGGCTGGTTCATTAGTGGTGTTAGCAGGCAGCTCCAAGGAGTGTGGGAGGAGAAGTAGGGACAGTAGAAGCAGCATGAAAGATAAAGGAAAGGGGAAAAAGGAGAGGAAAGGGAGACAAAAAAAGAATTGTGCAATATGGATAACAGTGTATACTGGCCGCCCTGCTTCAATAGGACACCCTCAGAGGTAGGACCCGGTGAAGTCTCTCCCCAGCACATGCGCAGTGGAGGAGTCATAGCATCTGCCTTTTCTCCTGCCCCTTCTGGCCCCACTAGTAGGTGCAGGTGGAATTATGTGCTAAATAAACACTGAGAGCATCCTAAAAGGGAAAAATGTGATCACAAAAGGCTAGCGTGCAGCCTGGGGTGTGTGGCAGGGAACAGGGTTGACAAATCAACAGTCTGTAGGTTGCTACCATGGTTATGATGGTCAGACGGAATTGCAATATCCAAACCACCCTCCTGGTCCTCAAGTAGCTTAGGATCATCACTGGGGCTTGGAGCATTTTCTTCTTCTGCAGCAACAGTTTCTGGGCCATCTGCCAGTCACAGGAGCAACCTGAGATTTTCCTCAAAGGGCAGATCTTCCAGCGACCCTCCAGATCCCGCTATCCCTGGGCACAGTGCTGGCTGCTGAGGCCACTCAGTGGTTACTTGCCCCAGAGTTGGGGAGCTCAGTGCCATGGAGACCCCACTCTATGTGAGATGCTTGAGCTAGGCACAATCTTGCCTCATGTCCTCTGGTAGGATGATTCTGATGGCTAGATTTACCTTACCTGGGGTGCAGGCCACAGGTTAGACTTAGCCACAGAGCACTTGGTCTGGCAGCAAGCCTCTTAGTGATGCCACAGCAACTGTAGTGGGACATCAAGTCACTAAACATTCTCCATTCTCTTTCAGGCCAGGGTCGACTAGATGGAGCACTGTGCTCTTTTTCCAGAGAAAAGGGGTTAGATTACTTGAAGAGAGCATATAATGCCGGCGTCAGAAATATTGAAATGGAGTCTACAGTGTTTGCAGCCATGTGTAGACTTTGTGGTCTAAAAGGTAAGACTTTCATGAATGCCTAGGGTCAAATTCTCTTCTTTCATGAAGTTATTTTCACACTTCAGGAGAAGAAAAAGGAATTCAGCTATATATTAATTTGGGTTGAAAGTATGATTATGTCATAATATCTTGTGAGTGGGCAGGACATTATTCCTATTGTGCAAATGAGGAAACTAAACCTTAAGGGTCAAAAGTGAGTTGCCCATGACCACTAGATAGTGGGTTATGTAGCCAAGACTTGACAGCAAGTTCACTTTTCTTCATCCTGATAGTGACTGCTGTTTTTTTACTACAATTGAATTTACTGAGACATGACACAAACAACATATCCCTAAAATAGTCCATCAAAGGACAAAATATCAGTGGAGCAGTGTGTTTTTAGAGTTAATTTACATGCATTTTTGCTTTCCCCACTCTTTTATTTTGAAAAGAAATCAAGAATACAGAAAAATTAAAAGAATAGTATAATACTTAGGTACCCCTTAGCAAAATTGAAGTTTTTAGTATTTTCACATTTGTGCATCCTCTCTAAATATATATGTATGTGTGTATATGTATATATGTGTGTATGCATATATATACATATATATATATATATATACACATATATATCCATCTATTTGGTTTCTTCTTCTAAATCATTATAAGTAAATTACAAATATCATGCCACTTAACTTTTGTACCTCAGCATCATTTCCTAAGAATAAGAATGTTCTCCTAATGTTCATAATACAATTATCAAACAAGAAAAGCTAAGAAAAGTAAAAATCATTTCATAACATCATTTAACATCCATTCCATATTTAAATTTTCTGATTGTCCTAAGAATATCTTTAAAGGGCACTTTAATCCAGTATTGAATTAATTTTATATGCTGTGTTGCTTGGTTATTGTATCTCTATATTTTTACAACTAGAATAGGCTCCCTACTTTTCTTTTTTTCCCGGGACTGTGATTTTTTTGGAAAGTCCAGGCTGCTATCCTGTAGCACACCCATGTTCTAGATTTTTCTGCACACATCATTTCAGGGTTTCACTTGTGCATTTATACTGAATATTTCCTGTAAAGCAGAAGCAAAATCTAGGGGCTTGATTAGAGTCAGCTCTGTGGCAAGAAGATTTCGTAGTAACATAAACTATGCACATTAGTTTCCCTTGCTCCATATCAGAGAAAGGTAAGGTGAAGATATTCCACTATCAGTAATTTTGCATCACTTGGTTCAAGTGGTAACTGTCATCTCTCTCCATTGAAAAATTAATGCTTTCTCTTTGTAAGTAACAAGTAACCTCGGGGATGATAATTTGGCATTTTGATAATTTTGATTTTCTAATTCCATCATTTCCTCCAACATTTATTAGCTGGTATTTTTTAAGAAGAGGCTTTCTTTCTCACACTCCTCTCTCTCTCTCTTTTTGGTGACAGGGAGTTATTGTCTTGCCGATTTTGTTCAAAGCAGTGTGTATATACAGCTTCTGTCATTACTCTTTTTGATACTCAAATTATCCCAAAATTGGCTAGGAAGAGTCTCTTCTAATACACTCTTTTGTCCTTTTTTGACATAATTCTCTTAGCTCTTAGGCATCACTTACATTGTCTTTGCCTCAGGTCTGGAATCATCCATTTCTCCAAGAAGCTTGGCTTCTTTGGGTGGAGAATGGCATTATGAAGTCAAATATGAATTATTTTCATACTCATCTTCAAGATTAAAAAAATCAAGCTTAACTGATGGAAAAGGTAAAGCTGCAAAGTTAGTTAAATGTTATATATTAACTTGGCTATGAAAGTCTCAGGTCTAAGGCTAAATAGCATCATCTAAAATAGTATTTTTGAATGGCAAGCAGTCCCCAAATATGAATAATGATGTTCAAGAAAACATTGGAGCAACTTTTTTTTTTAAGAATGCCTAGTTTTCTGGATGCATGAGACAAGTGCTCAGGCCTGGTGCACTGGGAAGACCCAGAGGGATGGGGTGGGGAAGGAGGTGGGAGTGGGGATCAGGATGGGGAATACATGTAAATCCATGGCTGATTCATGTCAGTGTATGACAAAAACCACTACAATATTGTAAAGTAATTAGCCTGCAACTAATAAAAATAAATGGAAAAATAAAATAAAATAAAAAGTTAGAAAATATTAGTGTAGTAAGTTAGCTAGTAAAAATGTTAATAAAGTTCTAATATGTCCATGGTTTTAGAGAGTTAAAAAAAAGAATGCCTAGTTTTGTTTTTCACATGGCAATTATCCTTTTTCATAAGAGTCCATAAAAAATGTCATCTATTCAAATGTGTTTTATAGCATGCCTACTGAGTGCATGGCACAATACAAGAAGCCTGGTTTTTAAATCAGATTTTTGGCTGATAAGATTTGTGTCAATCATTGTCTTCCTAAAGAAGGAAGAACTTTCTCCTATGCATCAACTGGTTTCCTGAGCACCCAGGCAGTATGGACACAGCAGAGGATGACACAGAATCTCTGCCGTTGAGGAGTCTAGAGGGGAGAGAAATAACAACGAAGAGTTATCTATAACAATACAGTAGTGTGTTAGATGCTGAGGAGCATGATGGTGAAAAAATAAGGCAGGGAAAGGCACAGGGGCAACCAAGGTAGGGAGGAAAACCATGAATTAAAATAGGGAAGGGTGCACGGAGAAGGTGCCACTCAGGAAAATGCCACATGGGTGCCTGGGCAGAGCAGTCTGGGAAACGCAAATCCAAGACTGCCGAGCAGGAGCATTCAGAGTGTGCAGGACACACAGGGAGACCAGTGCGTCTGGAGGGCAGTGGAGAGGGTAGGGGATGGAGTGAATGAGGCCTGGGTGGTCCCCATGAGAACTGTGACTTTCACTCTGAGCAACATGAGAAGCCATTGGAGGCCTTTGAATGGAGAAGTGATGGGATCTGGCTTGCCCTCGAACAGGAGCACACTGGCTGCTGATCTGGGAAGAGCCTACTGGGGTCCATGGCAGAAGCAGGGAGAAAGGAGGGCTGATACCACAGTCTAGGGGGATATGAACCATAGTTGAGAAAGTGAGAAGAAATCATGCTAGATATAGCTTGAAAGAAACCCAGTGAGATTTGTTGACAATGTAACATGAATTTGGAGAGAAACACAGGAGTGGAGATCAACTCCCAGGCTTTGGGCCTGAACAGCTGAAAGGATGGAGTTATCACAATTGGGACAGAGAAAATTGGGTGGGGCTTTGGGGGTACTGTGAAAGTGAAAGCTGCTGTTGTGTCCAACTCTTTGCGACCCCCTGGACTATAGAGTCCTTGGAATTTTCCAGGTCAGAATACTGGAATGGGTAGCCTTTCCCTTCTCCAGGGGTTCTTCCCAAGCCAGGGATCGAACCTAGGTCTCCCACATTGCAGGCAGATTCTTTACCACCTGAGCCATAAGGGAAGCCTAGGAATACTGGAGTGAGTAGCCTATCTCTTCTCCAATGGGTCTTCCTGACCCAGGAATTGAACCAGGGTCTCCTACATTACAGGCAGATTCTTTAACAACTGAGCTATCAGGGAAGTCCTGGGGGTACTGCAGTAGACATCAGATAGAGGTTAAATAAGCAGGTGGGTTTATTAATCTTGAGTTTAGGTGTGAAGTTTGGACTGGAGAAGTAAACAAAGAAAGTTGTAAGTTGACAACATGTAGGTAGCACTCAAAGTCCTGCAATGAATGAGATGACAAAGCAAATCAATGTAGAAATCGATGAAAAAGTTAGGGCAGGTGAGGGAGATCCAGCAGAAACTAAGGAGGAGTGGTCAGTGCAATTTGCAGAACACCTGGAGAGTCTAGTGTCCCAGAACCAAAGAAGAAATCTTCAAAGAAGCAAGGAATTATAGCCCAATAATGATTTACTTGATCACAGGTAGAATTTTAATTCTAGTATTTGTCCTTATTGTCACCTAATTTTTTTTTTTTAATAAATAGTGGAAATTTTTATTTATTTTTTATTTTTTTTTTCATTTATTTTTATTAGTTGGAGGCTAATTACTTTACATCATTGTAGTGGTTTTTGTCATACAATGAAATGAATTAGCCATGGATTTACATGTATTCCCCATCCCGGTCCCCCCTCCCACCTCCCTCTCCACCCAATCCCTCTGGGTCTTCCCAGTGCACCAGGCCCGAGCACTTGTCTCATGCACCCAACCTGGGCTGGTGATCTGTTTCACCCTAGATAATATACGTGTTTCGATGCTGTTCTCTTGAAACATCCCACCCTCGCCTTCTCCCAGAGTCCACAAGTCTGTTCTATACATAGGAGTCTCTTTTTCTGTTTTGCACATAGGGTTATCGTTACCATCTTTCTAAATTCCATATATATGTGTTAGTATACTGTAATGGTCTTTATCTTTCTGGCTTACTTCGCTCTGTATAATGGGCTCCAGTTTCATCCATCTCATTAGAACTGATTCAAATGAATTCTTTTTAATGGCTGAGTAATATTCCATGGTGTATATGTACCACAGCTTCCTCATCCATTCGTCTGCTGATGGGCATCTAGGTTGCTTCCATGTCCTGGCTATTATAAACAGTGCTGCGATGAACATTGGGGTGCACGTGTCTCTTTCAGATCTGGTTTCCTCGGTGTGTATGCCCAGAAGTGGGATTGCTGGGTCATATGGCAGTTCTATTTCCAGCTTTTTAAGAAATCTCCATACTGTTTTCCATAGTGGCTGTACTAATTTGCATTCCCACCAACAGTGTAAGAGGGTTCCCTTTTCTCCACACCCTCTCCAGCATTTATTGCTTGTAGACTTTTGGATAGCAGCCATCCTGACTGGTGTGTAATGGTACCTCATTGTGGTTTTGATTTGCATTTCTCTGATAATGAGTGATGTTGAGCATCTTTTCATGTGTTTGTTAGCCATCTGTATGTCTTCCTTGGAGAAATGTCTGTTCAGTTCTTTGGCCCATTTTTTGACTGGGTCATTTATTTTTCTGGAGTTGAGCTGGAGGAGTTGCTTGTATATTTTTGAGATTAATCCTTTGTCTGTTGC